GGGGCGGACAGCAGCAACACGCAGCAGCTATCCCATGTATGCCCTTTCCTGCCTCCCGGAGGCACCTTCTCCTGATTTCTGGTGTATGAGAGTAGCATGTGCAGGTAATTGGTAAATGGCTACAGAGGCCTCTGTGGGGCTTTGTCACTGACCGGCAGGAGTCAGAACTTGCAAGAGCGCACACTCGCTGCTGCCTGCCGCCTCTGTGGAAATCTGCTGAATGAATGAATGAATGAATGCCAGGATGAATGGATGAGTGAGCACAGAAGCAGTGGCTGGGGCACAGAGGCCTGTGCCCTGTTCCGGGTCACCCAGCCGCCCCTTCAGTCTGCCCGCTGGTCCTTACTCCCCCAGAAGAGCTTTTCCTGCTCTTCCCTCCTGCCCCTTCCGGCCCTCCCCTCACAGATTCTCAGGCACACCTGATTGTGCGTGGTCAGAGGATGAAGAATTCAGTGGCTACTCACTGGTCTGTGCCTGGTGGTCATTTCCTGGTTTAGCCCGTGACCGGTTTGCACAGGACTAATTCTTCCAGGGAGCTTCGGCCAACCTAGGCAGGGTGGGGTGGGGGCACAGGTCTCCCTCTGGCCTTTTCACTCTGCCGGAGCCTGGCTTGCAGACATCCGCGAATGTCTGTGGGACTTGTGTTCCCACCTCCCTGCTTGCAGGCTCTGTCCACTAGCAGAGAGCATGACCCACAGTAGGTCGTCAAACCTGCATCCCGAGAGCCTGGCCAGGTGGACACTGCCTGTGCGAATCGTGAACAGCACACCTCCTGCCAGGACAGCCAAGCAGAGGAGTCAGGACACCAGCAAATACGCTGGTTCTCATATCCGCCTCAGAAAGCTCTCTAGATTTGAATCTCATCATTTTTGTCATTGATTCGTAACACTTAGACTCCGTTTTACTCAGTCTCTTCTACTCAGATTTATCTCCTTTAAAGAAAAGTGCATTTCACTACCTTTATACCATGACAGCAACTGGCTGTGTTTTCTGAACATACAATAAGATCAGCAGTAATTGCGAAAGTTTCAAAGAAGCTTGCCTGGGAAGGAAAACACACACAAAGCTTGTGAATTGTTCTGGGTCTTGACTTTTAGCAGCCCCCAAGGTAATCTTTACAAACAAAGCATGCCTTTTTATAGACACATGCCTGGAATGCAGAAGGAAGGTGGGGACCCAGGATGCAGGCCTCCTGGAGAGGAAATTGATGAATGGCCTTAACCCCTGGACAGCAGGATGCCCTCAGGTTCCACAGAAACTGACAAAGCTCTGGATTTTTTTTGCCAACGCCAAGTTAGCAAAGATGTTAGAGAGAGGAAAGCTGGGATGCCGGGGCAGGCTGGATTCAGAATGTATGTGAGAGCATCCCAGAGCATAAAAGCCTTCAGGACAGCATGGGCGGGAAAACACTTGAGGGGGATCCACACTACTGTTCTTAACCAACCTACGCCCCAGAGAGGACTGAAGTCTGAGCACCTTCCCAGAGATCTGAGTGAGCAAGCTGTGTTTAAAAATCTTTGTAAGTTGAGGCCCTCCCTGGTGGTGCAGTGGGTTACAGCACAGCACTGAGAAGCTAAGGCCACTTCCGCATGAGTTCAACCCCCGCCTGCCCCGGAGGTGACCACATGGCGCGGCAGACCTCTCTTGGCCCACCCGCTGCTCCCTCAGCAGTGGACTTTGATCATCTGCCTGTCCTGCTCCCCGCTCTGTCTCTGGTGAATCCTCTCACCGCACCTGCACCTCTTGTCTGTACCCAGTTCTGTGTGCATAAATAAATCTTAAAAAAAAATCTTTGTAAGTTGAAAGAATGCGTTGAGACGCTGTCGGGCCCTGCGTCTGCTCTTAGGATGTGTCTGCCTGTCTTCATGATGTCTGCGTTGAACGCTATGAAGAAGACGGTTGGATTTCCCAGCCCCAGACTCGGACCTTTAAGGACAGTTGCACCTTTGCCTACAGCCTCAGAGATCCCTCTGCCCCTCTGCTTGGAAGATCCTGCATTGCTGACAAAGTAACAGCACTTGCTCCCAAGTAACAGGAGTTATATGTTCCCCTGAGAAATGACCCCGACATTGCAGCAGGGACAGAGAGCCACATTCTGAAAGAAGCTTCCTTTGCATTTTATTAAAAGCAAGCCACATGCCCACCACCCCCTCAGAATCGGAATTGAGTTTATCTTCTTTATTTTGGGGCTTATTACATCTTCATGCCTAAACCATCCCTCAAAAGTAATGAGGTTTTACTGTAAAATTAGGTTCAAGTTGATTGGTATAGATTTTGTAAATGAACACAGTAATTGTACTTATAAAGCAGTAATTTGAAGATACTAAGATGAGTACATCGCTAATGAAATAAAAGCGACTGATAATGAGAACAAACACCGCAGAATTCCTGCTGAGGTGATGGGTTTCAGGCTTCCTGATTGATAATTTATAGGGTTTTGAAGATGATAATTGCAGTTTTTATTGCTCATCTTTATTGCCTAGTGTGATATTCCCTGAATGTAAGTGTCCATTAGAACGCTTACGGTTTTCCTGCACGGGCTGCGTAATACTCAGTGAGACTCCTGAAGACCTCAGGATACATGAAAATGGCATTATAGTTGTTTCAAAATTATTTTTCAGTTTTACCTTTTGAACCAGTTGCTTCATTACCCAATGATTTGTTTCCCTGTAGCGTCTACGTCAATGTGTTTGATTTTAATCCCGGGTTTATCTACTGAACTATTTCTCCACCTGTGTGTTCTGTGTTGACTTTCCCACTGTAACTTCATCTTGTAAGTTCCTTCTTTGTCCCAGTATTCACTTCTTTTACTGGTGCACTCGATACATTAAGCACAATAATCCACAGACTCCCTAAGACATCTTCATTATTAGAGGGAGCTGTGCATACGCATACGTGAGGCAAGTCCATCTCGTTCTAGTCCACACACCTGCCTTTACCCTTCCCTCTCTCCCTCCCAGAATAAAGCACAACACTGAGAAAGATGATAACGCCTGGGCTTAAGGCGGGCGGCGTTGAAGTGACATGGCACCTGCCATTTCTTGTATTGCTGCTGATTACAAGTCATAATTCCTCTGACCACCTCGCCTGCCTGGATGCATTTCAGGCTGACTTTTCATGACAGCTGGAGGTTCATTGTGGAAATCACACCCTTATGGAAGAATTAATCCAACTGGCTTGAGAAAGAACTGCAAATCTCCTCTGCAAATTTAGTCCTAGAGAGACACCTGCTGTTTGATTTTGGAATTCTCATTGATTACCTTCCCGGGAGAGGTAGCTCCAGGCAGCCAGAGCTGTTTAGTCCACTTGTATTGCTTCTCCCCGCCCACTCCCATTTTGCAGTTCCACGTAGAAAGTCTTTTCTGTGGTTGGGTGTTCAGAGAATCAACGTGGGACGGCGTGCGGAGGCCCAGCGCCCAGCAAGCTCTCCTGGGCACTATGTTCACATCATTCCTACAGGAATGCACTGCGTGAACAGCTGCAAAGGTTGTGGGGGGGGGTTCCCAGCTGTGTTCAGTGGGGTTCCCACTCTGCTGCCCTCTCCCAAAAGACTAAAAGACTGTGGTCCAGTAAGTTGGTGGAACGGGGTGGGGGTGCTATATGTCAAGTCCTCCTTTTGGACGTCCGAAGACTCATCCCTTTTTCAAACCGGGGTAAAGAGTCATTCATCTTGCTTAAAGCAGAGCTCTGCACACTTGATTTGCACATGCAAGCTCTTCTGTCCTTTCTCATATTCACTTCCAGTGGTGAAGCACCTGCCACTCCCTCACATGAGAGAATACCTCACTGGGTAGTTTCTAAAGTTCCCCTTTCTTGAGGATCTACCATGTGCCAGGCTATGCACAAGGGGGTTCACACTTGAGGATTCCCTTAGTTCTCTAAACCGCCACTTGAAGATATTTCACTTCCATTTGCAGCTAAGAAACTGAGAATTTGAAGGGTTCACAATGTTTCCAAGGTCATCAAGTTAGTAAGTAGTTGAGGACTTCATGTCTCTGTTCATTCATCAACTTGCTCATTCATCCTCTCAGTCATTCACCTGTTTGCTACTTTCCATTGAGCATCTACTCAATGCCAAGTGCTGTGTTAGATGACAGAGACGCTAGACAGACATGTTCCTGCCCTCCAGGAGCTTATAGTCTAAAGAAAGTCACAGTAATTGAATATATGTAATTTCAAATGTGGACCTGTCACATTTCAAAGAAAGTTTTGTCATTGGCCTGGTGAGGATGAGGGCTTGGAGAGGGTTCTCCCAGATGGCGGTCCCAGGAGTCCACATTCATGAAGTCTCAGGACAGAGAGCTGTGTGAGAGCCACGGGGAAGCATTCTCCATGGGAGCACAGCAAGTGCAAAGGCCCTGGGGCAGAAGCCAGCGGGGGTTTTCAGAGAGCAAAAGAAGACTGAGGGGTTGGCACAGAGGGGCATTGGGAGATGGGGTGCATCCAGCTTGTGGGGAGTCGTGCCCTCTCTGACTCCCCACCCTCTTCTCAGATATGACGGTGGGAATCTTCACCCTCAGGCGAAGGTGCTCCATCACCCAAAAGTGCTCCTTGACGCACTCTTTCCAGATCTCTCTGTTGGAGCTGCTGCAGAAGGCAGCACCAGGCTTTTCCAAACAAAACCAAGGAGAACTACGCACCTGTTATCGCTGATGAGCTTTGACTTTAGAAAACTTTAGGAGATGATTGAGAAGCCCCCAAAGTTTGTGTCACGCTCTACGGGGAACCACCTGGCACCTCGCTGGGTTCTCCTGGCCATGGTTTGGGTGACAGCAGCAGGCCGGTCTTGTCTGTCTGAGTGGAGACCCTCCGGGGTCACGAGCTCGTCAAGCCACATCCCAGGCATTGGAAATAGTTCCTCCAGGGGCCTACTTGCAGCCTGTGGTTTTCCAGTTTATTTTAGGGTGATGGATTCCCGAAGCAAGGGGCTGCTCTGGCGGAGTTAAGCTTGGTTTTTCAGTATTCATTCTAACTTGGTCACAAGTATTGCATGTTATATGAAACCCGTTGTGTTTCCTTTAGCCTTTATGGATTTCATGAGGAAGGCAAACGAGTGCTACCACCCATTTTGTAGATGTGGAATGAGGTCGGGTCATTGCCAGATTTCTTGCCACGGTCCTGGGACTGAGGTCGGAGAGGTCACGACTATGATGAGGTGACAGAACACACCTGTGCCTTCCGCCCCGTCAGCCTCTGGGCTGGCTTCTGACCCCACTGTCCTGATGCCTTTTGGGAGACCCCTGGTGTGTTGTGGGATGGAGCCACAGGTTTGGTTATCAAGGAAGTGGTGCCCAGGGAAACTGTGCCAGTCCCTCGCCAGCAGATGGCAGTAAAACCTCTCATTTTATAAATTCAAGGCGCTTCACCTGTGGGGGCAAACCAGGGTGCACTGGCTGGCCAATTCCCGGGTGCGGTTTGATTTTGTTGACAAAGTTTTATTGGAATATCCATGCCTGTTCGTTAAGTATTAACGAAGGTTGCTTTTAAGCTGCAGGCTGTGGAGCTGAGTGGTTTCATGGGACCCTACGGTCACCAGAACCGGGACCCCTCGGTGGCACCTAGCCCTTCACATAGTTTGCCTCCGGCTGTGGCACACAGGGGCTACCAGTGACCTGTTGCTTGCCTTCCTAATTCCTTAATTTTTCTTAGTTTTTGAATCTAAAGTTAAATGATAAAGGCAAAATGGATTCTAAGAAATCCTCCCTTACTGCAACATACCCTCAGTATATACTCTGGCCTGCTTGCTTTCTTTCTCTCTCTCCCTTTTTAAGATTTATTTATGCATATAGAACTGGGGTACAGGCCAGAGGTGCTGGGGTGTATGCGAGGATTCACTAGAGACAAAGTGGGGAGCAGAAACACACTGCCGAGAGGAGCAGCGTGGGTCAGGAAAGGTCTGCTGTGCCCTGTGGGTCAGCTCCTGGCCAGGAATCAAACCTGCGCTGCAGAGGCTGCGGACAGCTTCACAGTGCTGCACTTTAACCCACTGCACCACCAGGGAGGACCCTACTCCTGCTGGATTTCTGTGGAGGCTTCCAAACCAAAGAGTGTGCTAACCGAAAGCATCGCTGCTCTTTTGCCTAATTACCTGGCTAGAGGGGTTGACGAAGACAATTAAGTTGGAACATCACGGTTCTGGACCTCATCATAGGTCAGTGCAAAGGCCCATGCAAATGATATGTTAATCATGCAAATACCACGTTAATCTGCGGTTCGTATTTGCATGCCACTGGGGGTAAGGCCTGCGTGGTTGCTCCTGTATTTCTGCTCCATAGAAACTCCTGACTAGCTAATGTGATCTTGGGCTTTCTTGAAATAAAACGACTTTCCTTTTTTTCCTTCTTTTCGGAAAAGATGTCACCAGCCCTCTGAAGCTGCATCGGACAGAGACGTTTCCCGCCTTCCAGTCTGAGCACTGACAGGAGCTGCGGAGCTGGGGTGATGCGCCGGTGCCCGGTGCCGGGTCGCCGCAGATGAGCCGAGGCCGGGGCGGCCAGAGGGAGCCCGAGGCGGCGGCGCCGGGCCTGGCCCGCTCGCACGCCGGGAGTTTCGCAATACAATGTTCGTTTCTTCTCTCCTTTCCTTCTTCCTTTTTTACATCTTGGTGTGATTGAACCTGCCTCTTGGTGTCCACGTGGCGTCCCTCTCTGCAGCTGGGCAGAAAGGACTCGAGGCCACACAGTGGTTTTCTGTTGTAGACACCAGGCCCCTCGTGCCTCTCCTTTTGTGGGTCCTTGTGAGCGTTTCGATTGTGTGACAGTCAGTCCTGACAATAAAATGACTCTTCACTATTTGTTATTTGTTTATGCCATTTCCCTCCGTTACTCACGTGGCGATTCGGTTACCTGGGAATCACATTTTGAATAAGTTTTATTATCAGTGAGCTAAAGCATGCCTTGACTCCCTCTCACCTATTACCTTAAGGGGAACTGTTCAAAGGACAGTGTAGGGTTGTTGAGGTGAGTTTTTCTCCTCCCTCCCTTTTTCTAAAGCCCTCCTTTTGTTTGGAGAACCTTCATCAAACATTTGAAAATAAAAGCTCAGTCTTTCCCTGGAAGGTCTTTGGCAATGCAGCTTTCTTAAGAGCCTGGAAGCTTCTGGAAGTGTGTGGATGTCGCCCTCCAGAGCCATCAGCATCCCCGGGGGTGCCTTCCCAAAGCCCCCAGGATCTGGGTTAGCTGGGGTTTCTGAGGATATGGATGGCTCCGTAAGGGCACTCAGGAAATCACCCCAGCATCCTTCCAGGCTGGCAAATCATCAAAAAAACAATTAGCCGGCCCTCCCTGGTGGCGCAGCGGGTTAAAGCACAGCACTGAGAAACCAAAGCCACTTCCGCAGGAGTTCGATTCCCGCCTGCCCCGGAGGTGACCACATGGCCCGGCAGACCTCTCCTGACCCGCCCGCTGCTCCCCTCAGCAGTGAACTTTGTCAGTCGGCCTGTTCTGCTCCCCGCTCTGTCTCTGGTGAAGCCTCCCACCACCCCTGAGCCTCTGGCCTGTACCCCAGTTCTGTATGCACAAATAAATAAATCTTAAAAAAAAAACAAAAACAAAAAAACAATTAGCCAGGCTGATAGGAGAAAAAGAAAAGTTTAATAATCACATACCACCCCCTGCATCCATGGGCGAGATCCCCCATGCCCTCCTGCCCGGTGGCCTCACACACCCACCCTGAACAGCACAGCCAGACAGAGGATTTGGGGGCAGGAGGAGTCGGGATGGTCAGTAGGTGCTTCCTGGGGAGACACAATGGATGCAGGGCTGCAGATTTAAGTTCTTCCTTCTCATCAGAAAGCCCCACGGGCCATTCCTGGTACAGTGAGAGAGATGCCCTGACTGAGAAAGGGCTTTTCAACAGCAGCCTCAACCCCCAAATCAGGGCCCCTTCCATTGATCAACCCTTTGCCCTTTCGTAGGGCGGTTTTGCTCCCCTGCAGTTACCGTGTTTTACTCACTGGCTGAGAAGTGGTGGGAGATGAGGGTTGACTTCTAATTAGCTGACGAACTAATGAGTGGACTAAGCATATATACCTGATTTAGTGCTAATGACTTCGCTGGACAGCATTCGTGTTCTGAGTTCTCTGCAGCTACTCATACCACTTTAGGCATCCAGCTTCTCCCAGGGGAATTCACATTCACCTTTTAAAGTTTTGGATTGCCACACGCAGTTGGTAATTCCCTCCCTGTGTACTCTGCTGACACTGGCCACATTTTATTTCCTTTCTCTTCTAAAACGATCTCACAAAAGGTTCTGATTCTCAGGGCACGGACAGCCGATGTGGGGGATTAAGGTGAAGAAGTAGATAAGGAAATGGCATTAAAGAAATAATTATAATTTTAATGAAGTCAAAATTGCTGAGGCAAAGCTAACGCAAATGAGTATATAGAGAAATGTTGCTGCATGCACTTAACTGTGTCACTCGAGAAGAGCCGCGCCAAGCTCGCGAGGCCAGGAGCATCTGGCAGCATCTGGATTCCACTAGGCGATGCCAGCAGAGTCCAGGTCCTGCTGGCCAGCGCCGTGTCTGTGCCCTTCTTGCATTGTTTCTTCATCCCCACGGCTGCGCCTTGAGGGAAGTAGAATTACTGTTCCCAGTGTGCAGATGGGGAAACTGAGGCTCAGAGAGTGTGATAATCTGAGCCCAAGCGCTCCCAGTTCTGCTAAAAGGTAAACCAAGAGACATTACGATGTCGTCAGCATTGGGCATCGGATCTGGCAGTAAAAAGCCAAAGGTGGCCCTGGCTTCCCCTCGGAGACCAGCTGCAGGAAGGTTCCCATGGAGATCGGGTGGCAGCGAAGCAAGGACTGGCCACAGCTGAAGCAGTTGCCGTGCTTGGGAAAGCCTGTTGGTTTTGGCGTGGGCTTTGGTCTCCGGTTGCGCTTTCTCTGATCAGAGTGCAGTGAGTCTGCCTTAGGTTTTGGATTGCGAGGGACACACCAGCGTCTGATCAGCACCTCGCCTATTTAATTACGTTAACAGCCACCAAATGGGAGACTCACCTTTGAAGCCGTCTTTGACTCCTCAGCTTGCTGTGTGCATCCATAGCCAGGCTACGCCAGAGGACAGCGGCCTTTTCATTCGAGGCCCAGACGATAAACATCTCAGGCTTCAGGGTCCGTGTGGTCTGTGCTGTGTCGCAGTCCAAACACAGCCGCGCACGGTGCGTCCGCAGAAAGACTGAGCTGAGCGCCAAGAAAACTATTTACAAAAGCCAGTGGGAGGCTGGACTTACCCTGAGTCCTTAGCAGTCCCTGCTCTAGACCACAAGAACCTCAACGAGGCCGGCGAGCAGAAACACAGAGGACACGGGGCTAAGATTGCACATCAGAGTCCAAGCTGGCCCCTGTCCCCCCGCACATGACCAGTGACCTTTGGCGTGATGGCCGCTGCAAGCCTTTGTGTCTCCGTGAGACACAACTCACTGGTCTCCTACCTGTTTTCCTGCGAAGTAGCTTCTTAGTGCTCAGACGCCTAAAATGGCCGGACCTAATTCAGAGGGAGCCACAAGATCTTGGGTCTTGTTATACAGTGGCCCGGGGGTGCAATGAAGTCTGCCCCAAAACAAAGGGACCTCGAATTCTGTCTTTTATTAGTTTCAGGGTTTTGTTGGAAACAACGAGATTTTGAAATGCCAAAACCTCTAGTCTTATAGAAGATGATAATAAGGGGAAATACATTTCGTTGTTCTTTCTCCAGTGCCTCACCCAGGTGGGTGGATACGCATGCACGAGAAGAGGAGGCGCTTCTCAAGCACAGTGCATTTTGTGTGTGCATCATTCAAAGGATGCACAGAGCAGGTCTAACGAATTCACACCAGCACTGCCCGGCAGGGCGACGTCTGACCGGGGAGATTTTCCTGGGCCTGGTGGTGGTTTCTGTCTTAACTACGCATTAAGAGAAGTGATGTTGTTCTGCTGGCGATGGAGTAGGGGGCGGGGGAGGAATCACCATCACCCCTCGCTCGCCAGCGGGTGTTGACAGGCCGGGCAGGCACCTGCTGGCACCCGGCCCAGCTACAGGCACACAGGATTGACACGAATTGTTCAGAAAACGGAAAAGAAAAAGAGAAAGCGCACATTTGTACACAGAGACATTTAGTGATTTCTTTGGGGGGTGGGCTTGACTCTTGGCAGGGGCATAGCGTACCAGCCACGAACAAATCCACTTTGTCTCAGAGATTCCATGTCCATCTTCAGATTCCCACAAGATGGGAAACTCAGGGCATCCCAGTCAAGATGGTGGGGTGGGGGAAGGGGCTGGTTCTCTCCGAGGTCAGAGGTCAGACCTCATAAATGTCAACAGTTGGCTGACTTCAAAGTGAGCTCATTGCCTCCATGGATGGAGCCTGATCAGCCAGGGCCACGTTTGCAGACTGTCCAGCGAGATGCCCCAGCCCAGCCGCTCTGCTCTGCTCGGGAAGCCCTCAGGCACCCTAGATGATGCACCCGAGCTCAGGGTGGGGCCCGGGCGCCTCCAGGGATTCCAGTGTCCGGGTATAAAACCCCGCTGTAAAAACCCCACACAGGCCTGTGGCACTTCCGGCCACTGCCATCCAACACCACGGGGGCCTCAGGGAGCTGGCCGGGAGCTGCTGCTCAGCAAAGGGACGGCCAGGTAGGAGCTGGGCTCCTGGCGGGTGCTCCCAGGAGGGGTCTGTGCGGGTGAGGGCGGCCCAGAGTGGGCAGTCGGGGCTGGGCTGCGCCCCCATGTTCTGTGTCTCTGCAGTAGTTTCTTTGTTGCCATAACAACTGGTGAGGAGGCCCAGTTTGACCTGCTTTGTTTCTCCGAGGTGCCTGAATGCCAGGGCTTCCCGCACCGCTCCCTTTAATCGGGGGAGCCAGCCAGGGTGTGCTTGGGAGATGCACCCGCAGGGCCCACTGAGGGCTGGAGTGAGTGGGTGCGGCTGCGGGTGAAGAGCCCCGGGCCTGCTGCCCTCCGCCTGCCCGCCTGCCCGAGGGCGTCCGTCCTTGTTGAAATGCAAGCTCCCTTGGAAGACACCGTCCTGGGAGGGCCAATTCATGCCCCTCTTCCTCGTTTAAGCAGGGGCTGATCCCGCAGATGGGAAGATTTTGGAGACGGGTGGCGCTTGGCGGCAGTGCCAGCTCAGCGCAGCGCCTTTGTGTTTACTGCTCGTTCCGATTGGAGCCCTGAGGTAAACGGGGTGAGGGCACAATCCAAATTGGAGCCTACAGGGGCCGTCTCATGCAGCTTTGTGGGCAAGTCATCCCCGCGCCAGGCCTGAGCCCCGAGCGCCCAGAGCCCCTCGTGGAAAGGCCTGCAGGCTCCACCCAGCCCCGCCTGCTCCCTGGCCCGGCCCCCAAAGCTTTCCTGGGTCACAGTCGCGTCCTCTGGATCAGGCACGAGCTGTGACTGCTGTGGTGACACAGCCCTGGAGTTGGGCCCTATCTGAGGGGGCTCAAAGCGACTCCCCAAGCACCTGTCCCCCCCCAGGACACATCTGCTGGATCTTGCCCTACCTGACTCCGGCCTTCAAGGACCAGCTGGGCATCTGGGTCCTGACTGCTTGTGTCCTCAGCATCGCTGAGAAGTGACTGTTCTCAGCCTGACCTGTGCCCTGTCATTGCAAAGATCGTAGGTTCTGTGGTGCCGTTGCCTAGAAAAACAGAATCTTCCCCATTCTTGCAAGTGCCAAGCTTCCTTCAGCACCAGCCTCTCAGGGTCCTTCCTGAGATCCCAAACCTGAGGAAGCCGCCTGAGCTCCAGGTGTCCGGGGTCGGCCCTGCACAGCAGCACCGCAGGTAGAATGATATCGGGGGGCGCCTGCCTTGTCTGTCCTCTCGAGGCCCCCGAGGGCGGACTCTATATCAGTGCGGCCTGGCTTTGTGCCCACAGCACCAGACGAGACACCTGGTTGACATAGCAGGCGCTTAATCGATATTTATTTCATAAGTTAAGACTTGG